ACTTCCATGTGGGTGCTGGGAACCACATCCAGGTTCCCAGCAACAGGAGCTAGTGCTAGTGCTTTTAACCACTGAGCCACCTACCTCTTCAATCAAGTATCTAATTTTTTTTAAAAATATTTTATTCACCATTTTTACCCCATGTGTATGCGTGTATTGCCTGCATGCAGGTTAAGTGCACTCCGTGTCGCAGTACCCGCGGAGGACAAGAGGCTGTTGGATCCCCTGGAACTGGAGCCATGGACAACCATCAGGTGCCATGTGGGTGCTGGGATTCAAACCCCGGTTTTCTGCAAGAATAACCAGTGTTCTAAACTGCTGAGCCATCTCTCCAGCCCCCTAAGTATCTAATTTTTAGGAATTTCTATGGCTGGGGATTGAAGTGATGGCACAGCAGTTAAGAGCACTGGCTGCTCTTTGAGAGGACCCAGGTTTGGTTCCCAGCACCCACATGGTGGCTAACAATCCAGTTCCAGAGGACCTGATGCCCTCTTCTGTGCTCCACAGGCACTTCCAGGCATGCAGGCAATATACTCAGGCACATAAAATAGAACAAAAAATAATAAACACTAAAAAATAATTTCTAGTTTTGGAAGAGTTGGATCTGTGGCTAAAGGCACTTGCTGTCAACCTAGAACCCACATGGTGAAGATCCTGCAAATTGTCTATTGACCTCCATAGATGTGATCTGTCACAAGTATGCCCACACACATTCACACACACAAAATAAATAAATGTAAAATCAAAAAGATTTTTGAAAAAAGATTGTAGGTCATGCATGGTGGCACACACTTTTAATCCCAGCACTTGTGGGTAGAGGCAAGTGGATCTCTTGATTTTGAGGCCAGCCAGGGCTACATAGTGATACCCTATCTCCATAAACAAAAAGAGAGACTATTTTATTTATTTATCTATTTGTTTATTTATTTTTGGTCTTTTTGAGAAAGGGTCTCCCTGTAGTCCCAGGTGTCCTAGAACTCACTCTGTAGACCAGGCTGGCCTTGAACTCATAGATCCGCCTGCCTCTGCCTCCCGAGTGCTGGGTTTAAGGTGTGCGCCACTACACCGGCCTATTTTTACTTTTAAAAATACTTTATTATTTTAATTTTATGTGTGTGAGTGTACTGCCTGCATGTGTGTAAGTGCACCCATGTCTTACAGTGCCCGTGGAGGTCAGAAGAGGGTGTCGGATCCCATGGAACTGGAGTTATGGACAGTTGTTAGCTGCCATGTGGGTGCTGGGAATCGAACCCGGGTCCTCTGCAAGAGCAGCCAGTGCTCACCGCTGAGCCATCTCTCCAGCCCCTATTATTTATTTTTTATGCTGAGTCATTTGAGTTCTTTATAAATACTGGATATTAACCTTTTATATTTAATTTGCAATTTTTTTTCCCCACTTGGCCTACTCCAGTTTTATAAATTGTCTCTTCACTCTGTTCGTTGTGTTCTTTGGTGTCCAGGAACATTTCAGTTTGATGTAATTCACTGTGACTACCCAAAGATTTATTACACAGTAGATGAGTATTCTACTACTGATCTAAGTCCCTAGCCATTCCCAGAGTGTCTTTGAGATCTCATTGATGCTCTAAACATATTTCTGTTTGTTTTTGTTTCTTGAGACAGGGTCTTCCTCTAGCCGCAGCTGATCTGGAGCCTGCTCTATAGACCAGGTTGGTCTCAACTTCACAGAGGTCTGCGTGCCTCTGCCTCCTGAGTGCTGGATTTAAAGGCCTGGTTAAAAAATTAATTTCTGCCGTGCATGGTGGCTTTTGTCTTTAATCCCAGCACTCAGGAGGCAGAAGCAGGTGGATCTTTGTGAGTTCGAGGCCAGCTGGAGCTGCAGGGAGACCCTGTCTCAAAAAAGACCAAAAAAAAATTTTTTTTTTCCTTTAATAAATATTTTATTTATTTATTTATTTATTATTATTATTATCATTACTACTGTGTTTCTGTTTTCCCTGTAGCCCCAGATGGCTGGAACTCACTGCAGACCAGGCTGGCCTTGAACTCAAAAGATCCACTTGCCTCTGCCTCCCGAGAGCTGGCCCGGCTTTTTAAAAATACCTATCTTTTTTTTTTTTTTTAACGTGTATGAGTGTATTGCATGCATGTATGTGAGTGCACCTGCGTCATGCAATGCCTCAGAGGCCAGAAGAGTGTGTCATATTCCCCAGGAACTGGAGTTAAGGATGGTTTTTAGCTGTCATGTGGGTGCTGGGATTCGAACCTGGGACCTCTGCAAGAGCAGCCAGTGCTCTTAATTATATCCCGGTTTACTGAATTTTTTAAAAATAAACTTTATTGTTTATGTGTGTGCATGTTTGTGTATATACAAAGATGTGCGTGACTTGGCCACACTTTTAGGTGGATTTCAGGGAGTGAACTCGGGCCACTAGGCTTTTCTGAACCATCTTTCTGGTCCTGGTCTACTAAATTTATAGTGATTAACAATTAGATCAGATTTAGTATGATTTTGTGCAATTTGTTTTGGTAGCAGTACCTCAGATACTATGTCATTCCTCTATTAGGAGGAGTATAGTTTCTGTTTCTGTTTCTAGTGCACAGGCATAAATGTTAAGTTTCTGCAACTGTGACCAAAGTACCAGAAAGAGCAACTTAAAGGGAGGAATTGTTTATTTTTCTTACAGTTTAAAGGTTTTGATCCATAGGTGGATGACTGGATTACTTTGAGCTTAAGGTGAGAATGAATAAAACAATGGTGTGAGCCTATACAGGGGCTTTACACTTTAGGGCAGACAGTAAACAGAGAGGGGAAGGGACCAAGGACTGAGCATAGCCTTCAAAGGCATCTCTCCTTTGAACTGCTTTTTCCAGCTAGGCCCTGCCTCCTAAAGGTTTTACCATCTCCTATAGGTTTTACCACCTGCTAAAATAGCACCACCTGCTGGGAACCAAGGGATCAACAGGTGTACGTTATGGAGGGTATTTCATATTCAAACTCTTAAGAGATGTTTAGTACCTGGAGTAACAATCACGGCCTTACAAACAGGTAATACTGCAGTTTTCGAAATTATGGTATAGTTTTTTTTTATTGATAATTGTTATTTAACAAAAAGGCAAGAGCTTCAGGTTTATCAGGATTTAACATACACAAATTTCAAATGTTCTAGCCATGAATTTCAGGCAAACAAGTTATGAAGACATTGTATATTTACAGTAACGCAGTGTGGACAATTCTTTACACTTAAGGTAGTCTCTAGAGCATAAGATATTCAGCTAGCAGCAGCTCTTATCTTCTGAGAAATCAATCATTTAAGAAAAAATTATAGTATAGATCTTATATGTAGATCTTTATTGCTTTTTAGATTAACCAGTGTTACTTTGCCATTTCTTAATTGTAAGCTGGAAC